TTGGATTTAAGCCCGACTTCTAAAGTCTAACCAAAGATTATGTTGGGACAAAGACGGTTGATTTTCTCCAACGATGTGGCAAATGGCAATTGCCGTGCATCATTTCTTTTCATTTTTTTATCTATAATTAAGTATTTGAGGTATTTTAGTGTTCAAAAAGTAAATTAGATTTTTTGAATATAAATTAATTGATAAATAAAAATATTTTGATCAAATTAATGTGTCCATTGATATAAATTCTTATGATACATATCAGTTCAATCACTTCAATAAATTACAAATTAATACTCTAAGATGTTAATTTATTGTTCTTCCATAGATAATCAACTATCAATTTAGTTTATATCTAATCACATAAATATTAGAGGTGATAATGATTTGATTTTGAACAAATTCGATTTTTTTTTATATCGTATAATATTATGAAAATTTAAAATTCAATTCGAATTCAAACCGAATTAAATTTGATCAATTCGATTTATTAGTTTTTAAATTTTGAAATTTTTTAATAAAATTTTAATATATTTAAATATATTTTGATATAAAATTATTATTTTTATTTTATAAAAATTAAAAAAATATATAAAAACTATAAAAAATATATAATTCAGTTCGATTCAATTTTTTTTATTTTTATCTCTTGATTCAAAATTCAATTCGAACTTAATATATATATATTTAATATTTAAATTGAATATAAAAAAAATTACTTCGAATCAAACTAAACACTATGATTTTAAATCGATTTTTTTATTTTTTAAATTTTTTTCTCACCCATAACAAATATAAATAACACTATCCAAATATTTATAATCTATTTTGAATTCTAAAAGCCTTAAACCTTTTATTCCATTCCTTTCTCCTTTCCATTCTTAAACTAATTTTTAATTTAAATATCAAAACACGAATGAAATCACTTTTAACTTTTGTCCTTTTTTTTAATCTCTTTTTCTTTTTTGCTTTTTTAAGATTTTGTCCTCCTTGTAGAGTTTGACACAAACATTAAGATTTTAATTCACAACTTTCAATTCTAAAGTCAATTTCATTTCTGCTTAATTAATAATTTAATAATTATCATGCATCACATTTGAATATGATAAAATAATTATTTTAGGTTTGGATAGAATTTGAAAACGGGTTAATTGTTTATAATTAATACTATAAATCATAAAAATTAAATTATTTTAAGTGATTGAACAAAAGTAATTAAATTGGATTTTATTTTATTATTATATTCTTATCTTATATATTACTAGAATTAATATTAAGTTGAAATATTCTCATTCCATTTTATTTTTATATAATCAAAAATATAATAAATTATATATAATCACATGTCTTTTTTTGTGAAAACTTATGATTAAAGTTGAGAGTTAATTAATTGATTTAATATTAAAAAAAATAGTGCATATAAAAGATGTGGACATGCATAATTTGTAATACTAATTATTTAAGTAATAATACTCCTTTTTATCACTAATAATAAATCATTATAAGAAATAAGAACAATGATAAAAAATTATTAAAAAAGAATAAGGATAACATGTATTGATGTGTCTTGTCACATGGGGAGTTCATTTTGTTCATGCATGAAGTGAAGTCAAGATAAAACAAAAACAAATTTTTTAAAGTTGTAAGTTTGTGATTTTTTACTATAGGTATTATGAATTGGATTTGATTTGATTAAATTTAATTGATGTTTAAGTACATACATTAATTTAAATTTAATTATTTTAAAAATATTATTAATATATTTAAATTTTCATAATTAAAATTAATATTATGAATTGAATTTGATTTGATTAAATTTAATCATGTTTAAGTATATACATTCATTTAAATTTAATTATTTTAAAAATATTATTAATATATTTAAAATTTCATAATTAAAATTAATAAAAGATATCATAAGTTAAATTTGATATAAATCGAACCAAACCATGGACAAAGAGTATAAATGATATATTATTACTTATAAGTTATTCAGATTTAATTTGAATAAATTTTAAAATTGACTTATTGTTGAATTTAACTCCAATTATAACAACTTCACTTATCGAGTAAGTCAAGTTCAAACATCTTAATATCCAGTTCAAGTAATTTACGAGTTTAATTAAGTTTTTTTAATTTTATTATATTTTTATTTTTATAATTAAAAATTTATTATTTTATCTTTATATATATATATATAAATTTAAACTCGAATTTGAGTTCAAAGATATAATCGAATATAAAAATTAAATTTCTTTTTATTAAACGAATATAAGTACATAAATTTAAATAATTTAATTTTTATTTTAAATTAAACTCGAGATTAAAAATAAACTTAATTTGATTCGATTACATCTTTATCATGAACAAATTTAGTTGAAATCAACCAAGGTAGGAAATTTTCAAAAAATGTAGAAGTTCGTGTTTTCATTCATAAAAGTAATTTTTATGGCTGCAAATAAAAATAAAAAGGAGAAAGACATTACTTTTTCTTTTTTTTTTGTCTTTCTGTTTTTCACATTGAATGTTGAAAATGAGTTGGGACAAGAAAGACAAAAACATTGTTGGGGAAGTGGGATTCGTATGAAAGTTGTAAGATAGATTCGTGTCTTCGTGCATGGGAAGTTGAATCCCTTTTTATCATTCCTACTGCATGCCTGCCGTTACGGTTGGAGATTCATTCGACTTTGTGCGCATGCAGGTGGGGAGAGGCGCGGGCTATCGTTTGGATCCCTTGTCCACCATCCGCCAAACGACAAAATGAGAATAAATTACCACTTGTGTTTGGATGCCAAATTGCCAATTGGGTTGATTTAGATTGGCTAGTACCAAAAGTTGAAGCCAATGGCAGGAAAGATAACACAAATTTTATTAATGAGATTGCAAGTTGCAAACCAAGTGTAGATACTAGCTGTACACATGGATAGCAGATGTGATTGATTATGAAATTAAAAAATAATGATAAAATTAAAATTGATAATAAAATTGATAATTTGTTATTTGCACAAATTCAAAACACTTTCCACAAATATGTTTGTTTTCAAAAATAATTTAAATTTTTTGTCACGTGATCATTATTCTCTTATCGTAAAATTAATTTATTGAGATATGTAATGTCAATATTTATATGTTCAGTGATTTTTTTTATTCAATGTAAGACCGAAGCATACTATTTTTTTTTAATGGTTGGTGTGATTTTTTTTTTTCACTCAATTTAATGATGCCTTCATTACAGTTGTCATCATGTTTACTCTTTTTAAAGTATTTGGTATGGTTAAATTTTGTTATTATGCTTTATTTTAATATTTTATTAAATAATTAAATTGATTCATTTTATTTATTTTATTAAAATTTTTTATACAAAATCAGATAAATTAAGAATTGATTTTGTATCGTAATCATTATCCTCTTCTTATAAAATCGATTCATTAAAATATATAATATCAACGTTTATACGTCCGATTATTATTATTTTTTTATTCAATATGAGATTAATAACTCTATCTCCTAGTTTTAAACGTTTAGCGTGACATTACCTTGAAATGGCAAGCCGTGATTTACCTCTTCCAAATCAACGGACAAGGACAAAAACAGGAGCATTTTGAGATCCAATACCAAAGATTGCTGGATTTTTTTGGTCACTTTACTTTTACAAGTATTAATGGATCAACAATGACAGCTTTCGACGATCAGGTAATGGCAATTTCATATTGCAAACGGATTGTCTGATTCTCCCGACTGACCTGCATTTTGCAGCGTTTGCAACTTTCTATTTGGTCATTTGGGGGCCTCGTCGTTTAGTCTAATAGTCAACTATCATCGGCTACTTTTACTTCTTTTGGTCTATATGCTGTCCTGCCTGCTGCAATTCATTCACTAAACCCAAACCATACAATAACGACTGCCTGATTCTTGCAATCAATAACGTGGAACATATTGTTGCGTGTTCCACACATGGTGCCTACTACTACTAGGCTACCATTTTTTATAATTAAATTTAAGGTTTATTTGGATGAATGATAAAATTAAAAATAATTATAATTATAATTATGATTAAAAAAACTATTATAACTACGATTAAAATAAATTTATAAAAAAAATTATATTAAATAAATTTTACTGAAATTAATATTTGATAATATAATAAACTCAATTATATTGCACTAAAAATACGTTGGAATTCAAACCCCACTTATTCACAGGAAAGTTTTAGGCAAAATTTTTGAAGACTAAACCCAACTTATTGGTGAAGTGAAAATATTTTAATATTAAATAATAATTTTTATTTTAAAAAATATATTTAAAATTATTAAAATATTAATATAACACATTTTGCAATATTAAATTTAAATTAAACATACATAAATAAGCTTTCATGAATGTGTTAATCGAGCTTGTCTTGACGTAGCCATTTACACCTCTGCTTATGATTTTTGATGCATAAAAAATTAAGTAATTTTGATAAAATTATGAGCTGAGCAATGTGATACTGTACAAACCATCTTATTTTAGTTTTAAATAACAATAATAATACAAAAAAAAAAAAAGATTTTGCATTATATGGGTCCCTTGAACATTGGATTTACTATAATTATAGGTAAATTAAAATGCATGGTGAAGTAAACAAAATTAAGGATAAAATAGCTAAAATTTGTCAAAAAATTTCTGTTAATTTTGGGTTGAAATTGCTAGTGGGTTTCTAAAGATTTCTAAATCTCGTCTGTTCAAAGAGTAATTGGATCATAAAAAGTCCATAGGGTTGACACAAATGGTTAAAGTTTGAAACCCTGATTGCAAAACACTTGATTTTTAAACCTCAGAATCAGTTATTGGCAGACGATCTATAGGTCCAAAAGTCTCAAAAAATCCGTAAATCCCCCTGTGGGTCGACGGTTTACCCTGATCTTGGAAATGAGATAACCTCCCTACTTTTAAACTTTCCTTGACCAAAAAAAAATAATAATAATTGGAGCATAAAAGATATTTCAATAACATAATACAAATATATATATATATATATAACCTCCCTACGTTTATTCATATTAAACACGAATAAACAGATTTGAATACACAAATTATCATGTTTAAATAAAAATTCATATATAAAATTTGTAGGCCCAATCAATGGATGGAAGCTACAAACTTGATTCTGACATAAATTTAAATAGAAATCAAGCATCTTCAGAGACAAACTTGAGTCTTAAGCACCTCAGTGAAGGAAACAAAAATGTTCTCATTACAGAGACGATGAAAGAAAAGGATAATAGTTTCAGAATGTAATCCATCACTCAGCAGTTTAAGAAGAAGTACCACTACGTAGAGATTGACCCTTTGATTTCCTAGGAGCCAACTGAGTCTCAGGCTGCAAAAACAGTCGAACATTATGAAATGCAATGTCACAACCTAATGAAGATTCCAGGGGATTTGACATTACTAAAAATAAAGATACCAATGACCTTAAAAATGAAGTTACAGGTATATTTCTCCTTGATTAATTACCTCTTTTTTGACAGGTTCCTCTTTCTCTGACAGAATCAGTTCAATGTGACATGGTGAAGACATGTAAGCTGCAAAAGGAAAATGGCATGAACACAACTCAAGAAATTAAAACCACACACCATAAGTAAAATAAGGTGAGAAAAGCAAATCACTCACGGTTAATTCTTCCATGTGCACGATATGTTCGGCGCCTTTGCTTCTGTGCTTGATTCACTTGGATGTGAGATACGAAAAGTGAATCTACATCCAAGCCTTTTACCTAAGAAAAAAGTGGAGAGAAGATGCACAGGTTTAACAAATAGGAATGTCGCCAGAATAGATTAAAATGCCAATTCATTGATATAAACCTCTGCATTGCTCTCGGCGTTCTTGAGCAGATCAAGAATGAATTTTGCAGATTTCACAGGCCAGCGACCTTGTCCATTAGAATGGCGATTCTTAGCTTGTGCAGTTCGCCCTACTCCACCACAAAAGCGTCGGAATGGAATTGCTTGCTTATGGGCCATAACATCCTCCAAGTACCTTTTTGCCTTTGTCAAAGGCAACTTTCGGATTGCAAAGGCAGTTTCCCGTGTATTCTGTTAAATGTAAAGTATAAACACATAATTGTTAATGCAAATGTACTTGGCACAATAATCGGGTGCCATCATTGTTATTAGTCATCTTACTAACACCTTAACCATACTAAGTTCCAAGACCAAGGTTACCCACATTTGCATAAGCACACAAGACAGGTTGAACTCGCAAAACCAAAGCATAACAATAACCATGTCATGTCATTGCCACAATAAGACACAAGTAGAACCATATCATGGTTAAAGAGTAAAGCAAGTAAAGACATTTGGATAACTTCACAATTCAGCAAAAATATGAATATTAATTGTTCAAATGATTAGTTTAATACCATTGAAAGGCAAAAATGCACCTTTAAAAAGCTCCTAGCAACAACAGAATTGAACGATTCGAATTTTCATAGCCAGATAATCACTGAAAGAGATCAATCAGCTTACCTTAAAATGAACACGAAGGTCAGAGCCCCTGGCTTTGCAGGCTGAAACACAAGGCACAAAGTCACCAAAAATCAAGTTCCAATCTTTTTCAATGAATTAAAACGAAAGGCAATAAATAAAGAAAAAAAAAGAGGGCATAAAATGCATTTCGGTTTCCTACATTTTTCTCAGCTACCAAACAGACAATTAGACTATATATTAAGTGATAATAATAATAATAATAAAGAATTAAAACTTACATTTGGTGTTGTTGTCTGGCTCTCTGGAATACTTCACCTAAAGAAACAAGAAATTAAACCAAAAAATCCAATAATTTGGAATTAAACTTGAATATTCTCAAGAAAATAAATTGCAAGTAAAAGTTAAAGGAAAGAACTTTTCAAAATGAGAAAGGTTGACGAACCATGGCTCCTGCTGCTTCTGAGTGTTGCGGTTCGCTACCAAACAGAAGAAATACCGCGTTAGGGTTTCTAGCGAATAAAAGCGATGGTTTTTAGGGTTTAGGAGTTTCAATTGGGCCTCCATCTTCTTTCCCTTTTGTCAGCCCAAGCTTTTGGTTTTCTTGGGCAAATTTCAATCGGACCTTACCTCCAAATTGAAATGGCCTTCTTTGTTTTCTACAAGCCTAGAATTTCTCGCTGCTTAGAGCTTTACGGGCGAAAATGGGGAGAGCATATTTGGGCTTTTTTTCTTTAATTTGATAATTTAAAATGCGACAGAATGATGTAATATAAATATAATATAAAATAATATAATTTAAAATTTTAATAATATAAATTTAATAAAATTAAAAATATATATTTTATATTTTTATATCGACATGAATTATAATATATAATTTTGTATAAAATATGATATTAATACATAAATTTTAATATTTCAGATGACATTAATGTATATATACTTGAATCGTCAGGTTTAATTTTTGGTTAGATTTTTTTACTCTAAAGTAAAAAATGACCTATTAATTAACCTAAAACACAATACGATAATATGATATAAAAATAATATAAAAATTAAAAAATATATACTATTAAAGTTTTAATAAAATTCATATATATGTTTGACAAAATTAAAAAAATTATAAATTTTTACATTACACGACAATTTTTTTTCTTATCATATTAAAAAAAATTATGAGTAAAACTTTAAAAAAAATTATTTGATATATTAATAATAAAATTTTTTAATTTGACAAGTAAGATTAATATAATGACGTATGTCTTATTTTTTAAAATTAATTTTTTTATTTTTAAATATATATTAAAAATATATGTTATCATATTAATTTTATTTATAAAATTAAAAAAAAACTTTTACTATTAATATATTTAATAATTTTTAAATATCATTAAATTCGAATATAAGCTACATTTAGCAATTAATATCTCTTTAAAGAGAGAGTGATAATGCCTCGGCTACCTATCAAGGGGATGATAAGAATTTTGACCTAGTAGCCAGCTAGCTAGTTTTCTTTAGTTCAATATTTCCGACTGATCAGCTCTCCATGGAAGTTAGCTATAACAGAGTAAACATAGATAAATGATTGATTTTGATCTGGTAGGTACTAGAGGTTGGCTATTCAGCTGATTTCGATTGAGATCTTGAGTTTAACCTAGTACTCCTTTGAAAAAAATTAATGGTCTGCTCACCAAATCATAAGGTCAATTTCATCAATTTGTTGGACCAGTTCTTCCAAAAGGATAAACGCCATTTATTTTTTTCACGCATATTTAATAATTGTATATTTATATCATATAAAATATTAAAATTTATATTATATTTTATATAAAAATTATATATAATAATTTATGTTAATACAAAAATATAAAATAAATTTTTATTTTATTAAATTTATATATAATTATTCTTAAATTTTTAAATCATATTATTTTTATATTTTAAATTATATTTATATTCGTATCATATTACTGTTTTATATCGTAAATTGACCTAAGCCTAAATGGTGTACTTCGGAACTTGGAAGGAGTTTGAGAGCATAATCCTAGCCCTAGTTGTCAGGGAAAGAGGAAAATTGTGGCAAAACATTGGAACACTAAACTTTGTAGTTTCATTTATTCCTTTATTTTATGAATGGATTAACCTTACAAATTTAGATAGTTATATTAGGAAAGTATATAATTAATAAAGGCAAAAAGGACTTTACAAAGGTGGAAATCAACATTTATTTTAGATATCTTTTTTTTTTCGATAAAATTGATAAATTTATCAAAATATATACATATATATATATTATAAGTAGATACTTTCAAAAAAAATTTAGAATCCATTATTACGATCACCTTTAAATGATAATGTCCTAAAATTTGAGATTCAAATATCAATATATATAATCTTTTTTTTATTCTTGTACATCGTAAGATTATAAATACACTTTATCATAATCTAATAGATCAATTTTTAAGTGTTCATTTAGATTCTATCATATTTTCGATACGATACAATTAAATTTATTGTATCATTAATTAAATTCAAATGTTAATTCTAATGAAATCCATTCAATATAAATTTTTTATTAAATTTTTTTTCAAACATAACAAAAATATATTTTTTTCAATCACAACTATAATATTTTTATTATTATTTTTTATCTCATCATAATAAATCTCTTCGTACGTCCAAATGTATACTAAATATCCTTAGGAATTTTCGCACGAGGTTTTATCGGTTTTGGTTTTGTGTGGTAGTGTTTTGGTCAAGCCTATAGACTAGGCTATAACATGCATGCATAAATATTTCATTTCATCAATATAAATCTTAATTCTTTCTTTTGTACGTGATATAGTTGTTAGCTTATTTCTATTACTTTTTTGAACAAGTATATAAAAAATAATACTTAAGCTATTTTTTTAATAAAAAAAGAAAAAAAATAATAAAAGAGATTAAAAATATTAAATTTTAAATTTTAAATTCAGTAAGTTATAAATAGTAATTATTCGAATACATTGGATTAAACCTCGAACTTCACGATTCTTTATTTAATCTAATTTGCAAGTAACTTGAACCATCAATCATTAATTAAGTTTAAGACAATGTCTCACTATTTTTGAATACCCTTCTCCTTACCAACACCTTGAGCCCGCCGGCCATATGAGAGGTTAAGTGAGGAACAAAACCAGGTTGGTCCCGGCGGAGCGGTCTGATCTCGAACCGTCTCAGTATGGAAGCCACCACATACTTCATCTGAATAAACGCCATTTCTTTCCCAAGGCAAACTCTTGGACCGGCCTGAAACACTGGAAACTTGAAAGGGCTCACGGGCTTTAGCAACCCGTTTTCTGCACAAGGTTCCTGGAACCACCGGTCCGGTTTAAACTCGAACCAGTCTTTCCCCCACAACTCCTCCATCCTCCCCATTCCGTAGGGGAAATAGGTCACTCTGTCTCCTTTCCGGACGACAGTCCCGTCAGGCAAAACGTCGTCGTTTAAAGCGTGCTTGGAGTCCCATGCCACCGGAGGGTAAAGCCTCATTGACTCGCATAAACAAGCTTTGACGCAATTCATTTCCTTCAACACTCCGAAATCCAATCCTTTTTCGCCATTGCCAAGCATTGATTCGATTTCTTTCACCACCATTTCCTCTGCGTTTTGATGCTCAGAAAGCAGCCAAAAGAGCCACGTCATTGCTGAGGAAGTCGTGTCTTTTCCAGCCAAGATGAAGCTAATCACCATATCTCTTACTACTTCCTCGTCGTGACCAGTTGATAACAACCGAGACAAAAGATCTTCAGCGTCGCCACTGCATTTGGTTTCTGCTTCTAGAGCTCTCTTTTTGTTTTGTATGATCTCCAAAACGCAGCCATGGACGAGTTCAATTGCTTCCTTCAGTTTCTTCTCTGACCCAATGTTAAGGGTTCTCTTTGTTTTCCATACCACGGACATGGGCGCCATTCCTCGCATGGCGCTTGTCTCTGTTGCGCTATCAAATGCCTTAACGAGACGCGGAACTGGTTTTGAAAGATCCAAGCAACAAGGGTCATGACCCAATGATACTCTACAAACAGTATCGAATGCAAATCTTTTCAATACGTCTTGCAAATCAATAACTTTCTCAATCTCCATTGCTTCTTCAAGCAACGGTAACAGCCGATTTTCGACCTCTTCTTGAAGGGTTTTCACCACGAATTCTCTCAAAGACTTTGTGCTAAACTCATAGCCGGCCACCTTCCTTTGAGTTCTCCACAACTCCCCATCCACATTAAATATCCCATAACCGAGAAGATCACCAAGGATTTCAGTGAAAGGCTTTCCTTTAGGGAAATTATTGAAGTTGGTCTTGAGCATGTGCTCGACATTAGCCGGGTTGGCTGTGACGACCGTACGGCGTGCACCGAGCCGACTCACCACGATGGTCTGGCAAGGAGACTCGGACAAAAGATCAGTGTACCAATCCAACAACCGACAGCGGTTCTTGTAAAAAGAGATGAGACAGCCAAGAAACGGATACGAAGGAGGCCCAGTATTGGAAGCAAAAGCCGATTTCTTGGTGAAAAAATAGTGCAATTCTTGCATGAAATAGAAAAAGAAAAAGAGTAAGAAAAACCCTAGAGTAAAAAACAAGATAAAACAGAAAACCATGGCTGCAGATTATACAAAAAATAAAGCTATAGAATTTTTTATTGGTTGGAGGAAGAGTTTAAGAAGAAAAGGTTTGAAATTAATTTGTAAACAGAAATTAAAGAAGTAGATAAGGGTTGTTTTTTTCTGCATAGCACAAAATGAAATTGAGGGAGGGTTATTTATATAGAAATATTTTTTGAGTTTATATTTTATAGATTTTGTACAATATTAGAAAATCACGTGATGCTGCCTAATAAGAAATTGATATTGTTTGATTTACCGATAATATATAAAATTTATACATTAAAACGTACATATATAAAAGTAGTACTTTTAATATAGATATGTGTTTCTAATTTTTTATATTTATATTTATATCGGGTAATTTAGATTATCGAATTATTGTAAGTTTGGGTAATTTAAATTTAATATTCAAATTATTTAAGTTTAAATTATAAAATTATAAAAATCAAATCAATTTAAGTTTGATTGTTTAAAGTTAATCTTTCAGATTGTTCAAGTCCAAATTATTTTTTTATCAAATCAAATCAAGTTCAATACTAATTTGAGTAAATTGGACTAAACTTCCAAATTGAATTAATATTACTAGCTTTTATAGTGAAAGTGTTCAATTAGCAGTACTTTTTTTTTTTTCCAATGACAAAGATCTACAAATATATATATGGTCACATGGAGCTCGTGGGTTATCTCATGCATGGTTCATCCGTATTTTGTTTTTGTTCTTCTTTTGTCTCCAAGGATTTGATGAGTTAACAAAAGTAATATTCTCTTAGTGTTTTTAAATCTCTAATTCTTTTGTGTCATTTTTATTTTATACATACCAAAAAAATAGAGATCAACAACAAAAAAATTCTACCATTTATTTTTAATATTTAAACTTGAAAATTCTAAATTAAAATTCCAAAATTTAATTATTGTTATATATTATCATTTATGTATATATATTTTAGATTATTATATGTGTTTGTATCTATATATGAGTAGAAACTATACAAATTCTTTTTCCTTAATTATCACTTAAAGTTAAATGATTTATTTTTTGGTAATAAAATCTATTTTTAGTATTATTTTTCAAACACACTCTCTCTTATTTATTTGGCCAATATTTAGATTTGTATATAAGCTAGAATCATTCATTTTTAATGTAACAAAATCATTTCTTTAGAGTTGGATTTTAATGGGAAAGCATGATTAGATATGGAAGTCAAAGATCCCAATGATCAAATATAAAAAGCAAGTTTGGAAGTTCATTGCATTAGTACATGCTCGATTTCGGTTTCTGCCATGGAAATTTCTGGTTTAAGTGGAGGATTAGGTAGGCTGCTGTGTTAGTTTTCAGAGATTGACAAAAAGAATGGATCTAGAGAATTTGCTTTCTCATGCATCGTCATAAAAAAATCTTATATTAAAAAAAAAAAAAAAACAGAGAAAAGAGATGGAAGGTTTTGAAATATTTTATGAAAAAAACTTACATAAAGTTTTTTAAGTGATATTTGTGAGGTTTTTTTTTAAAAAATGATTTGATAAAAACTTTAATAAAAAAATTCAAATCGATAGAATGATAAAATTCGATACAAAGATCAATAATATATAAAAAAATTAATTTAAAATGTTTATAATTTAAATTTGATCTTTACTTATTTATTAATAGTAAATATTTTATCAACATTTTACTAAAAAATCTATCTAAAAATATATTAAAATTTTTTAATCTATCGATTTTAATTTTTTATTTAATCATTTCCGTAAGGAATTTTATGAATTTCACCTAAAAATTTTTATCTAAAGCCTTCTCGCATTTCATTTAAGACAACTTAAGAAAGAAGAAAAGGAAGAAATTGATAAGGAAATTGATGATTTCTTTTTGTACAGTAAAAGTCACATTAAAAATATTTCTCCTGTTTATGTTCAACCTATTTCATGAATGATTTAATGTCAATTGCTCCAAGTGTTTCTTTCGTCTGGCAAAAAAAGGAAAAAGCAAAATTGTGTTAAAATTTTCTTTCTTTCTCACCCAACCAGATGAAATCATGGAAAACAACAATTGAAATAACTTTTTCCTAATGCTTCTCCACTTATGCTAGGTCATTGAAATTTGAAAGTAAAGTACTTAGTAACTTACAAAATTGGGCTGTAAAGTTGATGTCCTCTCAACTTTCAAGAAGGAAGATTCAAAGCTTGTGTTTGAGTAAGAAAAAATTATGCATCAATTTATTTGAACCAAAATTTGGGTCTCACAATTTTCATAATATTTATTGTTCATGGTAAATAATTAACAATTTATTGTGATTTATGACCAAAAAAGTAAAAAAAATAAATTAAATCGACAAAAAGATGTGAAAATATAAAGTTAAAAATATCGATAAATCTTATAAAATGTTGAATTCTTAATTTCAGTTATTTTAGTTCAAATTCTAACGATTTTAAGTATAAAAATGATATCGACAAATCATTGATATAATTATGCAAAGAATACCATTAATGGCATAATCATTTGTTATATTATCCTTTGATTTTTTTTTTGTCAATAATTGGTTAAAGGTAATTAAGATTTAGCTCAATGTTTTTAAAAATGGATAAAGTAGTAATGCCAAATTAAACATATAATCTCAAAATTAGATGCAAAGTTTTTTATACTACAACTATATATATTACTTGTGCAAATCAAATCAAACCCCCAAGCTAATTCACTAAAAAAAAAAAAACCCAAAAACAAAAGATATTTCGAAATATAAGATTGAATTGAATTTAAGAATTAACTCAATACGATTATATAATCACATTTAAAAATTAACATTCAATAAATTTGAAATTTAAATTTAATATTTATAATTATTTTTTATTTTTAATTTACAATCTCTTTTATAGGAAAAAAAAAAGTGAGGATGACACAACATTTAACAGTGAAAAGTGATGAGACAGTGAAGCATGCACTGAGATTCTGATAAGCCTTTTAGACCATGCTATGAAATTCTCGACTTTTGATGGACTTGGGACTGCTAAAAACATCACCGACTTTAGCTTTATACATAAAATTCACGTTTAAAATATGGTTTGCTACAAAAGTCCATTGAAGCTAATTAATTTGTACAAGTATTCTATGTTAGGCAAATCAATTATCAATTAATTTTTCAAAAAAAAAAAAGAAAAATCCAGAACCAAAGGTCTTGCAGCCATTTTTTTTCTTTTTTCATTGGCATAACAATTACCAAATCTTTGACTAATACGATATTACTTTTTACAATTTTTTAAATTATGATTATAATTTAAATTCGAAACCTTTAATTTTGGAATAACATGACGGTAAATTAAAAAATTCGTATATTTATATCGTATAAAGTATTATATTTTACATTAAATTATGTATTATAATTTGTATTGATATAAAAATATGAAATATATTTTTTATTTTATTAAATTCATACATAATTTTTATTAAAATTTTAAATTATATTATTTTTATATTTTTTATTCATATAATTTTTGTATCGTAATATAATGTTATATTTTAAATTGTCGGGTGTACTTGAAGGCTTTGATGGCTCACAATCCTTACAACATTACGTAAATAAATTTGCTAATGTTCAAATCAAAGGTCTACCTATCTATAATTCTATACATATATAAACTTCTTTTCAATTTGGCCAACTATATAACATGGGGAAGAGGGAATGTTTTCCTTTTTAACAATATATATAAAAAATTATTTTATATAAATTTTTAATTTTACTAACGAAATTAATAATTTGATTATTTAAAAATAAACATTTATTAATATTTAAATTTTTTTATAAAATTAAAAATTTCACTAATAATATAAAAAACAAATTATATATGTTAATTAATACAAGTTTAATTTGAATTGAAAATTAAAAATCGCTATTATGAAGGAAATCCTCAACAATTAGATTTTGATATTTAATTTTTAAAGTTTTTTTATTCTAATTTTTAAAAATCCTTCGGTTTATATTATTTTAATTTAATGAACTTTTAACATTTACTCAAAGAAAAGAAGAAATAAAAAAAAAAAAAGGAAACCTCGTGCTAAAATTCTCACATACGTGTCATAAGTGTATGGATCTTTAAGATGTAATCTTGATCGATTTGATCAACCACAGTTCAACACCTGTCATTTCTTAATAATCTTGGCCTTTTACGATGGAGATAATACGGCGCCGTCTTTTCCAGCTTTAAAAGGACAAACTTCAACCCGGTGGCGTGGGGCTCGAGGGATGACCACCAGGGTAGCTCAAAGCCAAAAATTCAAAGAGTTGTGGGCCAATGGGTTCGTTTCGGCCAAGCAGGCTTGATGGGACAGCGCACCAATCCTGTCTTAATTTTGGCTCGAAGGGACTCGAACCAAACAAAGCCATCACCCATCAAGGGCAAAAGGACAGTTTTAGCATGATTTATAGGTATTGAGCTTTAAGAAATAAAATTTTGGAATCAACAAAGAGAGAAAGAGAGACGCTAAGTACCAAAATAGGGAATGTTTTTTATGCTTGTTTCTCGACGTTTAAATTAAAACTCGGTTGATTATAAAAGATAAAAAGATAATATTATAATAAAAAATATTTGAATGATTTTATTTATAAATAAAAAATGAAGTGTTTGTAAAATAAATTAATATGATATTATATATATTATATCGATTTAAAAATTAAAAATATTTTAATTATTTATTGACAGTTTTTTATAAAAAAATAATTTATTTTTTGTAATTTCAAAAAAATTTCTAATACACTTTTTCCTTGATCATTTGTGCTTGTAACTTCAATTCTTTGGATAAATTATCTTTTCAGCATAACATGAAATATAGCATTTTCTCAACAACCAATCAAAATGTCGATCCGGCAGGGGTAGCGTATGCATTAATGTGCCAAATTGCCTGATCTAAAATTCAGTGGCAAAAGTTGTGCTTTCACACATTTAATTCTAATGATCCAATCTTATAGAATTTGGAGCAGGAGATGATGATGATGGGGAACAAAGATGGAGTCATTGCAATTTATCAACAAGTTACTAGTAATGAACTTAGGAGTATAAGCAAACAGAATTTTTGATGATTCATTCGTAAATATATTTAATTTTTGTTTATTTATTAAATTTAATAAATTATTTTAAATATTATTTGTACGTTCATTTATTAAATAAATCAAATACGAATAATTATTTATTCGTTCATTTATTTATACGAACAAACTCGTTTAAATTCATTTTAAATTTGACCTGATTAAAAATTTATGAAATAGTCATTATTATTTTTAAAAGCATGTCTAAAAATTAATGTAAGTCAATTATAAGTTTTTATTAGTAAAAAATTTTGTTTATATATGTTGTTTAACATGAAAAATACCTTTAATAATTTTTTACAAAAAATTAAATGAAGTTATTAAAAGCGTTTATTACCAATAAAGTTTTGAATAATTTATTTTAATTTTTATGAGAATATTATTCAATGTGTTTTTGGGGTTATTGAAAGTATTTTTGACAAAAAAATGCTTTAAATAATTGCTTCCAATTTTTTGGAGATTATTTACAGTGTTTTTGGTTAAAAAAGGATCTTAAATAATCTTTTACAAAAATTTGAATGAGATTATTTAAAGTGTTTTTCTGACAAAAAATATATTGAATAATCATAAAAAAATGAGAGGATTATTCAAGAGGTTTTTTGCCAAAAAAAACTTTGAATATCCCTATTTATTTTTTTGTAATTCAAGATATTTTTTTAGTAAAAAAATACTTTGAATAATCCCTCAAAAAATGGGATGCGATTATTCAAAGTGTTTTTGGTAAAAAATACCTTGAACAATACCTTCATAAATACCTTGAATAACCTCTTAAAAAATAAAAAATAATTATTGAATGTGTTTTTGGTCAAAAACGCTTTAAATAACCGATTTTTAATTTTTTGTAAGGGATTATTCAAGGCATTTCTAGCAAAAAATATATTGAATAATACTATCCCATTATTTTTGGGATTATTCAAGGTGTTTTTGATTAGAAAACGTCTTGAATAACTCAATTTAATTTTTTATCATGGATTATTCAAGATGTTTTCTGATAAATTTTTTTTCATTTTTTCATGTTCGTTTAATGTTCACAAATAAGCTCGTTCAATTTAAACGAATCAAATACAAATAAATGCAAACATCCTATTATTTAAATAAACAAAACTCGAACATAATTAACAAATTTCTTATTGAATCGAGCTTAAAAAGCTCTAAAAATAAACAAACGAATTATGAATATATGTTCGTTCGTTTATGTTCGGTTTATTTATAGCCTTAAATGAACTTTTGTTACAGGGGGTAAAAAATTTAAAAAAATGAAAATTGATTTGAAATCTTAGTGTTAGGTTCGAATCGATTTTTTTTATTTGATTCAGATTAAGTTCAAATATTAAATACATATATTAAGTTCAAATTGAATTTCAAATCAAAAAATAAAAAACCAAAAACAAGGAAACTAAACCAAAATATGTATTTTTATTAATATATATTTTAAATTTTTATAAAATAAAAATAATTATTTTTTTACGTAAATCTATTTAAATATATTAAAAATTATATTAAATAATATATTAAAAATTTAAATTAAAAAAATTATTAATCAAATTGAACCGATAAAATTTAATTTAGTTCGATTTAAATTATATAAAAATTTGATTCAATTTGAATCTAATCTTAAAATTTTATAATTTTGTATGTTATCGCACTGAACCATTTTGATTCAAACCATTATCACGTACCATGGATTTGTCTTCACCGATGGGACAAGGTTCAAACCCAGAGCCCCTCTTCTTTGTAACTTGGTTATTTGAACAGAATAACCATTTATATTATGGTGCAAACTAAGTTTGAAGTACCCCGAAATTATAGATGCAAACACATGTTTTCGATAAGAATCAGTAAACATCTTAATCGCCATATGGCACATGGAGCAATATGGTGGGTGAAACTTCCCGAAGTCTTAAAGTGCCTATTGGATCGAGGCTTTAGTGTAATGAATGAGGGGTACTTGTCATCACACTGAAACTCTAATTACCCTTTGGACTCTTGAGGGATTGGGGAGAAAATGAGGCTTCATTGTATCAGGGAAAATAAGCAACTGTATTGTAAAGCCAGGAGTGGTGGCCAACGCCATTGATAGAAGAATGTCATTGAGCAAAGCAGATTGGGCTCAAGGATCTAACTTTGGTGGTAAAATGGACAGATATTTGCATTACATTGAAGGCCTTCATGGTGAATGAAACCGGATGGATCGATGTGCTTTGAGGAGGCTCTGGGAAAAAGTCAAACTCAGCAATAGGATTGTACAATTAACCACTAGGCACGTTCATTGCTAGCAAGGAGCCAAGCCTCTCCTTTGCAACCATTTTCGTTATAGACAATTTTCCTCATTGTAAAAGGAAGGATGGTTTTCTTCATGCTATATAATAGGCAACAATGTAGCGGCTATTCCAATGTTTGCATGTGATCTTCTTCTCATTGTTGCTGCAATGTCTCTTTTACCAACAAAATTCCAATGAAACCAGTCCATATTGCAAAGTGAGCTATTTACCATTTGCCAGGTTGCTGTTTGGACTTAAGGTGAATTACCCAATGGGTAACAATGTTTGATATTTGCACCATCTGCATCTACCATTGCTCTTCTGGTTTGGTTAGCCATATAGAATTTGCCACAAATGGCCAACAAAGCATGAATCCATTCATCTTTGGCCTGCCAAAAGTGCTACATCAACCATCAATGTGATAAAGGGTGCCACCCCAAATTCCTGAATTTGTCTTCTATGGACCACCAAGGGATGTGATAGCTGATGCATCAGGGTGCAAATGGACCCTGCAATTTATTCGTGAATAGGCAAAATAACAAATGACTTTGTCCAAAGAAAGTGCAAATAATGCGAATCTGCAGACCTAACAAGTAACACCAAACAAGATCCATTGAGTTTCTGTTGTAAACAAAGACATTGCAGGTTTATTTGCAACATAATGTCTGGATACACGTTGGTTTAATTTACGATTTCCTGCTGTTTGGAAGCAGGGTGGCCCTGTTTCACGTACCTCTTGTTCTCAGCCTGTGGTTTTATGCTTTTGTAGATTGTTCTTTAGCTACAGTCAGGCAACGCTTACATCAAAATGTTGATCGCTTCAAACTAGTTTCTACTGTTTTTCAACTGATAACAGTTGATTCGAATTAGGTTTTTTTGGTACTAAATTTCAGAATGCTAAAGGGTACTGAAACTGTGAATTCCTTTTGATCAAAACTGTAATGTTTCGTTTGAGATCGTCTATGAAAAACTGGGAGACAACTTTCATTTCAAGAAAGCTACCAGTAGAAAATTAATCCTCCAATGACCAAAAAAGTTCACTGCATTTGTAAATTAGTCTACAAAATGGTCGCTTCCCAACAACTGATTTACAGGAAGTTGATTGGACTGCATTTTGTAGAATTTAAGTTTTTTTACGAAGGAGGCAGTAAACAAACGATACGAGAAGATGTTGCAGATGTTGTACGATGTCAGCTTTTAAAAGTAATTATATGAATCAACAGAACTAAACCTTTAATTTGGAATTCAAGTTTTTCAAATAAATGCAATGATGTTGCAAAAGTCCCATGCCCAACATTTGAAGCATTTTCACTTTCCAATTTCCGTTGTTCTCTTCTAGAGACCAAAGCACAAAAACGCACATTTCAAAGGCATATTTAGTCCTCTAACTTTTCCACTAATAAAAAGCTCATCAGAGTTGTTCTGCAGTCTATAAATCTTCACTACATTGTACATTAATTTACTTTAGCATTCCTCAAGCTCTCAGTTTTCACAACTCCCACATCATTATTCACATTGTTTCACAGAAATTACATTGGGGGTAAACATTGTGTTCATCCTACAGATATAATCATTTTTTAAAAGCACTGAATCTTCCTAACTCCCTATACATCAAATTAACAGCAGAATTCACCAAAACCTTTTTACCTGCATGATTGCTTCTTCAATCACATTTGACAAATGCTTCTTGCAGAAAACTATTATTTCTGAACTACGTGGCTTAACCTGGCATCTGTTTTCCTACCGAAGATGCAGTTCTCCATTAAAAACTTTAGTAACAGCTAAAAAAATGAAAGAGATGTAGCCATTCCTTTAAGACGGTGATAACCAGGTACTACTTCATGTTAAACAAAATTAGTATCATGTAAAATATTACTGGAAGGTATTAGGAAAGAGACATGGCACAATTGGGAATCAAAATATATTTATTGGTTTCAATCCTACAATATAAACATTGCTATTAGTTGCTATATTACAGAATGACAATCTTTTGTTCCAGGGGACACAGATATTCAGGCACTTAAGAATGTTATGTGCATGTGAACAATAGATATGCCAGGCTAACTGGTCTATGAGGCATGGCAAATATGAAAGGTGACAACTGACAAAACGGCCACAGTGCTAATGGTGGTTCATGAAATAAAATACATGAACCAAGACAAACCCATATATAGAGAAACTATAGACTATAAACATGTACAAGATACAAAGGGTGCCAGTTAACTCTCACAAAACCTGTGTTTATAACATCAAACAGAATAAAAAACATGTCAACAGACACATAAATAGGTGAACTCTTGCTTCAGCTAGTCCTTGATGAACGCAAAGGCCATACCAGTAACAGGAGTCCTGTATCCTATCCTATGTACTCTTCCTTCTCATATGGTGAAGAACAAGAGGTGATCCTTCAAACAAATCCAATAGATAATTTTCTAAATCCTCTGGTGTATATTTAATGTATTTTCCAGCATGCCTTCCACTCTCTAGCTGATTCCCAAACCTCCCCATGAAGGACCGGTAAGCCGGAAGTACTTTCTCTGATATAGAAATTCGAAGTTCTTCACGAAGTTGAGGATCTGGGACCTTCCAACCCGTCTGAATCCTATATATTTCTTCAAAACATGCATTGAAGTTCTTAAATCTTTCCTTCAAGGCTACCTTGGAGGCATTGTTAGAGCTACCACCGATCCCTTCATCCTTCAGACAATATAGAGCTTTGGTCCAACAAGCCCTCAGATAACCTGTAGCATGCTGGCGTATCTGGCCACGCCGCCTACGAACCCAATCATCTCCCAAAAGCTTTCCTAGCTCAGAATCCTTCACCTTTTGCACTACATACAGAATATTATTCATCAAAAATATACAATGCAACGCACCATCCTCATACAGTTTTGATTTCTCCTCAAGATTGGATTCCAAAGAGGTTATCAACAACAACAACCGTTTAGCAAATGGAGTCAGTGTCTCCAGTTCACTATCTTCACTCTGCAATCCATCTGCTTCATCCTCATCACTCTCCAGTAACAAATTCAAAGTCTCACTATAATCCACAAGCAGTTTGACATAATTCATTACATAACGTGTAAGAGGATGAATCTCCCCATTCTGCATAGGTTTCTTGGAAGCCTCATTCTTCACAGCATTCTCAAACTCCACAAAAGTCCCTTTTGCCGCATCCCCTAATCCAGCCAACACTCCCTTGGCCTCGCTACACACAAATTCATCGGTAACCATCATCTCAAAATCCAGCAATGCATCAGACAAAACATCATACATATCCAGAATCCTAAACAGCTTCTCAGATGATCTTTTCCCAATAGCCACAGCTTCCCCAAAATTCAACAACTGTATTACACAGCCTTTAGCTGTCTCATTAAAGCAAATCTCTTTGATCGAATCAGACCCATTAAAAATTTGATCACAAAGCCTCTTTTCCCCACTCAAAAGAACCCTAACGGTAATCTTAACCGCCTGAATCCACTTCTTCATCTTTTCATCCAAAGCTTTCCACTCAATCTTCTGAACTTCCTCAATACTCAACTTCTCAACTCCAAGAATCACCAAACACTCATCCAAAGCATCACGCCTAACATTACTATAAGCTTGACCACACTCCTTTTCGTACCCAGACCGGATCATCCGGTAAGCAATCTCTTTTAACTCCATTACAGCATCAGCATTGATCAAATCTACACATAAATCATCTCCCAAACTTGGTCCTCTCTCGTGAAAGCACCCTCTTTTGCTATCAACCTCTCCAAAACTCTCGAATTCCTCGTCAATTTCCCCTTCATTCGCTGCGAAAGAGAGGGAAACCCTCCGGATCGAACCGTAAAGCCGGTCCGCATCAAGCGGGACGGTGTTCCTAATCAAAATAAGCCGAAACTCATCTTCCAGCCTCGACATAGCCATTTGAATAGCGGTCTTCGCCCGGTCCATTATTTCATTATCAGACCGAATCGGCATATCGACGAACAATTGAAGTATTTCGTCAACCGCCGAGAGGTACTCGGCGGCTTCATTGGGAGAGTCTTCCCAGTAGAGAGAGTGGCGGGAACCGTCTGGGTTAGAGGAGGAAGAGTCCCACCAGAGGATCACTTTCTCGGCGGCGTCGAAGCGGACACCGGTACTGTCGGAGTCATCGTTGATTAAGTCAGTGATGTTGGACAAGCGGTTATCGAAGCTCGAGAAAATCAAGAGCATGTCTTCACGAACCTCTTTTGGTGTATTAAGACTCTTAACGATCTGCTGAGCCGTCGCCATGACCCGGTCCTCTCCGCCCGCACCAAGGCTCGTCGTAGTCGTGGCCATGGTCGTTGATTTTAGTCCTCGACCCGGCCCGGTTCTCCGGTTCTTTTAAGCCTTTATCTAAGAAACAATTTGGGGATTGGGGAGGTTCACAACTGAAGTAAACTGAAAACCGCCATTTTCTGAGTTTTGGTTCCGCTTTTTGTGGGTATTTTTCGGTCGTTGTAAATCGGTTTAAGCCGGCTGGTTAGGGAGAGGAAATGGATTGCTGGGAGAGGAAGTTATGTCAGGGGAAGTCCTATAGAACTGTGTGTGTCAGAAGTAAGAAGAGAACGGAAAAGGGTTTGGGAATTTCTCTACGGTTATTTTCTCTACGATTTTGGTTTTTGTTAGCTTTTTGGATTGGGTTATTGCCCATTTGGTGCCCTCTTTTTCTTGTCTGGCCCAATGCAATTATTTTTATTTTCTTTTACCTTTTTATTTTTTTTATATATTTTAATTGAAAAAATAAAAAACTTTGATTTCGTTATTTTTTATTATTAATGATTTAACTTTTGGATAAAATTTAAATTTATCGTTTTATTAAGGATGTCAAAACTATGGGTGTAAGTGATATATTAATACTCACATGCTATTCGGGTCGATTCAAAGAAAACTCGAATTCAGTTCGATTATTATTGAGTCGAGTTCGAGTAGCTTGATTTATCGATCGAGTCGAATTTATTTTTATATCCGATTCGAATAGCTCACGAGCCTAATCGAGCTTTTATATTTTAATATATTTTTATTATTTTAATTAATAAAATATTTTGAATTCAAGTTCGAGTTCGAGCATAAATAATTGAACTTTTATCGTGTATATGAATCGAATTTATTTTTATATATTAATCGAGTAAGCTCGAATAGCTCAAATTCGATCACGAATCGAACTCGAGCTTGAAAAATAAAATTCGATCGAGTTCAAGTCGAGTATCGAGCTACGAGTCGAGTTCGAACTTCTCACTGTATCAACTTGACTCGACTCGATTACACTCTTAATCAAAACAACATATGCAACCTCTTAATTATCTTTAAATTACTATTTCCTTTGTATTAAAAATCAAATCTATTAATTTGTTAATTTATATCATATTTGTTTTATATTAAATGTGTAAAATAAAAAAAAATTACATTTTCATATCGATATATTAAATATGAAATATTTTTAAAATTTTTTAAAAAATTTTCAATCATATCATAAATATATTATTATTTTTGTATTTATATTTAAAATTATGAAGTTTACCCAAAAAAAATAGCCGCTGTTGATGTTGCTACCATTTAAATAATAAATGTAAAATACATCATAACTTAATCATTAGTCTTTTGATTTAATCACTTTTAAGGTTGAGTAAATTTTTTTTTATTCGTTAATCTTTGATTGTGTGCTGATATAATACTGTTTAATCATTTTCTATATTAGCTATCAATATGATATATTAGATAACTAGCTTATAACATGTGCAATGCACAAGTTAATTGTCTACTTAAATATTTATAAACATATAAAATTAGTATTTTATGCATACCTATATTTAAATTTTAAAAATTATAACATATTTTAAATTAAAATATTGAAATGATATATAAAAATAATTAAACTTATTTAAAAAATAAATATGATAAATAATTTTAAAATCATAAAATAAAAAATACATGATAAAAAATAAATAAATATTTGAATCTATACTTATATGTTTATTTGATTAATAAAAAATAAGTTATCTATATGTTTATATCTTTAATAAATAAGTTATATTTATTTTAAAAGTATGAAATTATGTTATGCACTTTTTTTATCAAAATAAATTTTTAGGATTTTATCTACTCCAATTAAATAAAATTGAACTTTTTATTTTGAATTAAATAAGAAACTTCCATTGCTAATAACTTTAGTTACAATCAACAATGATAATATCTGTAATACTTCTTAGACATTTTTTTTTTTTATCTAAATTACATCATTCGTAATACAAAGTTCAAACCGTACTGACACATTATCCAACCTAATTGCCTAAGATTGGCGATGAATTGGATCAGATTTTTGTTCGTTCCGAATCCAATCCAATTTTTTAATCATAAAACTCGAATTTAATCTAATTTGAAATTAATAAAATATTATTTTTTAAAAATATAAAATATTATTTTTTAAATATAAAATATAAAATTATATAAATACATATATAAATAAAAAATTTAAAAATAATTTTTATATAATTTTGGATCGGGTTGGATTTGCTTAAAACTCGATCCCGACCCGACCCGAAACCCAATTAAAAAAAAAAATCTTATAAAATCGGATCGAATCGAAACCCGTCGAAACCGAGTTGAATTGTCAACTTTATAATTGGCTTATAGCCTAGCATGTTTCACATAATTGAAAATGGAATCTCTTATGTTAAGCTTTGCTTCATCTACAAAGTAATCTATCATTGAAAGGTATGTGGAAACCAGTCGGATCAGGTTTATTATGTTTAGCACATTTCCTTCAAGCACCATGTATATCTTGTGTCCTTAGCCAAAAGCCTCCATTGTTGTAAGATTTGTCATTCACAAGACTGAAGAGCAACAACAACTATCCCATCCCTATCTATGGTAAGTACTCTTATCCTTCCAACTGCATTTGTCACATCAAAATTAATTTTAATAAAATTTAACTGTTAATTACTTCAGTAAATAAAAACCTCTAATTAAAGATTAGATCAATATACAATACAAAAACCAATAACTAAAGAGAACATACGAATAAAAAATTTTGAAAATTTATAAGCATTTGCTGATTTATTACAAACGTTACTATTAAAAAAAACAAAAGTAAATACAATGTAATAATAGAAGAACTCACATTTGACTTCCTTTAATATTACTTTTGATCGATCATTATGACTTAATGGAATAGGAAAGAAAGCAAGATTACTTAATTATACAATTGTAAGAGAGCTTTCACGTGAAAGCCAAAATTTCAAAGGCTTTTAGCTTCATAAATGGTAGATTGTTATAGGTTTGTAGCTTCTTCTCTTTTACTAACAAAAATTTAAATAGATTAACTGAATTAAATTTATTTAATCAAAATTTCAAGGTTTATATAATATAAATTTATTTAAAATCTGTATATAAAAAAATATTATCATAATTAAATTCTAAGAGAATATTTGGTAAGAAAAAATTTGAATTAAAAAAATTTTTATTTTTGAATTTTGAATTACGAATGATTGATTTGATTTTTTTTTATTATATTTTAACTTTAAGTTAAATCAAAACATAAATAATTAAATATACATATAATTCGATTTAAGTTAAATTTTAAAAATTTTGGATAATTAAATAATTTTTAAATTTATTTATTTGATAAATAGCATTAAATTAGTAATTATCTTACATGTTGATTTTTTATTACTTTGAATAATATATAATTAGATTTATATATATATATATATATATGAATAAAAATGGATTTAAATTCATATCAATGTTTATATATTTTGAACATTTAATATGATTTAATTTGAAAGTTTTTTTATGTTTGATTGTTTTGAATAATATTTAATTAGCATTATCATATGTGTCATTCAAACAAATTACCAAAATAAGCATCCACGTAGACAAGCTTTATCAAATTTCTATATATGTTATAATATAATATTATATATGATATGATATGACAATGACACATAATATTATCGCATCAACATATTATTAAATTCTTCAAAGTTCAATCGACATGACATGATAAAAGGCTGAATGAATTTAATTTTGGCATGCAAAGATTAGTTTTCATACAAATGAATCCATTTTCTATTCCAAAAAGGTTTAACAAGAGCTTTATCAGCACTTATGCATTTGGTTCAATGAAGATGCATGTTTTTCTCAGCTTGAATCCTCTTTTCCGAAAATAAAATAAAATAAACAGGAGCTTCATCAGTTATAGGAAACACCACAGTTTACTGCTGAACATCGACACAAGGAATCTTAACTGCAACCTATAATAAGATCAACCTTTGATTCTGAAAGCAGTAATTTACGTTAAAATGTTTATCTTTGTCACATGGAGCAAACTGAAAATGATTTCCATTTTGGGTTAGGCTGACTTTTCCCCAACGAAATCAAGATTCTAGCTACAAACCATATGGCAGCTAACCAATATAAAACTTCTCATGAGCATTAACCATCAATTTAGCTTTTCATATGTTAGTTTTGCCAAACTTTCATTAACTCATACGCTATCAAAGAAATACAGAACAACTCAAGATATTCAAAGAGTCAAACTAGAATCATTAGCCACCATGGGTAACACCAAATATCTTTGCATGTGAGATAAGGCTATTAACATTTATTAACAGGAAATTACAATTCAAAATAATCCCTCTCTTCCTCCCTGACTAATATTTAATTTCTACTGAATACAAGTAAAACTTTGATCATCTCTGTCAAACCCTTGAATTTTCAGTGCTTATGATCCAATTCCAACAGAAACACAAAGAAATCCAGACTACAGGTCAATTTCATGTGGACCAAGCTTTTCTAGAACAATCAACTTGGCTTTGGTCATGGTCAATATCAACTAATCTATGATTCCATACATGTCATAAGCATATCTAAGTAAAACCAAAAGCACTATTTCTCCCTCAGGCCACTGTTGCTATAAGAAGAAAACCTGAAACAATATGCATATTAGCTCAAGCATGCAATTATTGCTTTCAGGAGACAATATTCCTTTTCCTCACCTAACAATCTTTACTACTACTGCCAACATTTTCATTGGTTTCAACATATCAGCTTCACTTGTTTCTTTGACAATATTTACCCTTTTTAAAGTAACAAAAGAAGTACAACAAAATAGTGCCTAAAGTGATGTTCTGATTTTTGATATGGGTAGTTCTATTGCTCCCATTAGGTAATCATGCTACTCAAAGTTATTTTCATTTGCCACATACTTTAGTACTCACTCTTGAAAAGAGTCAGAATTAGTGATGATCATCCACTACTGCCACCATTTTGAATGATACATATCAGCTTCACATGTTCCTTTAACAATATTTTCCCTTTTTGAACTACCAAAAGTAGGTACAACCAAATAGTGCCTGAAGTTATATTCTCATTTTAATTCTTTTATTCCAGTTTTGACATTGCTAGTCCTACAGCTCCTATTAGTCAGTCATGCCACCAAAGTACCATTAATTTAAATATAATTACTACTAAATATATGTTTAACATAATATGCTAACTGGAAAATTTGTTCATCCAGATGACAGATGAAGTATAATAAAGATAAAACTTGATTTTGAGGGGAAGCTGTTTGGCTGTACCATTTTATGTAATTGGAAAATTACACTGCATTCATTTCCTGGGAGCAAGGTCCATTTGACGTCTCACCCTGAAAAAAAAAAAAGAAAAAAGAAAACATATTTACATTAGCAAAGAGAAAAACGGTTTGTAATGACTAAAAATATAACCAGGAATAAAAAGGAAAGTTTAAGCCATGACACCAACCAAATTAGATAACTGATCTCGTATACAGTACATAGACTTCAGCATTGTATCCAGGGTTTCTTTAGCTAATTGGAACTTCAAATCCATCTCCCCTTGGGGAGCCTGTGTGTCATTTTGGAGCTGCATAAAGTGCAAGAAATGCAAAAACATCACGTCACCACTTCAGGAGCATAAAGAAATTGTCCAATCAGAGAAAACCACATATTTCAGTTAACATGTCAAAGATGTTTGTTTTACCCAATTTCATATATAGTGAAACTTTGCAATCTGAAACAAAAGGCATCAATTGCACTGACTTGCCAACAAAAAAGATTAATACCTTCAAATTGATAACAGCCACCGGTTCTGTCACTTCATTGTCCTGACTTGCCATACTCCAAGTCATTGCCTTTAAGCGTGGATAAGAAACCTGGAAACGATTAATTTTAGAAGCACGATATTTCATATAGCATCCAACTCAATTGAGATAAATGTTCTTGTAATTGACCAAAAAAATCGAATTCCTGACCTCATCCATGTGTATATCTGCCCGCCATTCTTTCTGAAACTTTTGCAGCAAAAGTGCCAATAGTCTTTGTAATTCAGGAAGAACCTCATTTGGAAACAACTTTTGAATATCATCTTTGCTGATATTCTCATAAACACATCTACGGATTAACATGCGGAGACATACCAGAAGCTGCAGAGCAGATAAAAAGATAATTAATCTAAGTTGGGATGATTAATAAGAGTTCGATAAATTAAAAAAATTAATGCTTTTCCAGCACAACATAGATAAATAACAATTTGCAGAGAAATTATAAAAAGCAACGTTCTTCTCAACATCAGGTCAGCAAACTGCGTTTCTGAATATGCAGGGGGTACAAGCATATGAAACCAATATGGGAATCAATCTTAGTTTTTCACTCTTTATGTTTTTAAAAGATAATATGAAAATCTTCATAGGAAAAACAACCAATAATTCTATTAGCAAAAAAACCCCCAATGAATTAATTTCCATGTCAAGCCCAACCAATTACAAAATCCTATCCAACTAGAGATAAAATTGAAACTTTTTTTTCCAAAAGAAAAGAAATCATTTGAAACTTGTAAGACTTGAATTTAAATATAAGTATTTGTATATATAGAAACAGAGACTGAGGGAATGGCTGATTACTGGGTCGAGATCGGAATCGTTTTGGAGCTGAAGCATTTCACAGATGAGGCGTCGGTCATCAGCATCGAGACCAATCTTGCGAGTCCTCCAAAGGGATTGAAGAATGTATTCCACTGATTCTTTGGAGTTTGCTCTTACTAAGAGCGGTAAATGTCCCCACAGCGTACGCTCCATTTATTTTCCTCAATGGCTCAAGCTTTCAAGGAAAACCAAGTTTGTAATTGTATTTTCCTCGCCCTAACGACACAGAAAACTGCAAGATGGAAGCTATGGCAGAGAGACTTGACAGTATAGATTTTACACAAGGCCCAACCTGTCAACATCTCTGAAATTTCTTTTAACTAGGCCTTGAGCCCATTTCCATCTCACTTGCTCAGAACCCCAGTCACTGTTGAAAAATCTAGCTAAACCCATCTATTAGGGTTGCACTTATTTTATATTAAATATGTATAAAATATAAAATTATTATTTTATATAAATTAAATATGATAATTTTTTAATTATTTTTGTTATATTCATAAATTTTCAAAAGTTTTAAAATTTAGCATTGGATGCATAATATAAATAAAAGTATTGTATTGGAAAATAAATTTTAGCAAAGATCAACTTTAGTTATATATCATAAATTAAAAAATATTTTTTATAATTTATTTATTTCATTTAAATTCATGAATAATTTTATAAAAAAAAATACTAATCCCGCCAATGTCAAAAAATTTTTTATATGACCATCCGTTCGTGTAATTAATTAGTAAAATAATGAATTTTTAAGAGTTTAGAAAAAAAATTTATTTGTGCAAAGAAAAAAAAATCCCAAGCATTAAACAAGTAAAAAAAAAAAGAGAATTTTAGCACATAACATATCTGCATTTACAATTTTACCCTTGATCGTTCGATGGCGATTTCTTCAGCTTATCCAACCTCCTCCAATCGTCCAGCATCGGCATTGCCGCATTCCCATTACCGCCTTCCTCCAATCATTCAAATTGGAATGTCTTCCGCCATTCAAACTTTACCTTCTCACCTTCTTTCTTGTTCTTTTATACGAAGTCGGTGTTTTTACAAGTGGAGTTAAAATAGCAATATATATTTTATTTTTTAAAATTAATTTTTTTAAATATATATTAAAAGATATGTATTATTATTTTAATCATATTTGTAAAGTTAAAATTTAAAATATACATTAAAAAATATATATTATTATCTTAGTTTTATTTATAAAATTAAAAAATTTAACTATAAGTATATTTAATAATTATATATATATATATATATATATATATATATATAGGGCGAAGAGAAAAACAATAAAGGAGAGATTGTTTCATTACATGTTGGTTTGATGTTGGATCCACGGAATTTAACTGTACTAAAAACTCAAATATTCGTTGAACAGTTATTTTATATATGTCATACATTGATTTTGTTAACGGTACTTATAGTTAAGATTTAAAAATAATTAAAATTATTATTTACGGAAATATTTTTATATTTAATTGTTATTTTTATTAAATTAAAAAAATACATACATTAATTACTTAAAAAAAATTATCAATCAATTATCCATATAGTAAAGTTTAAAAGTTTACAATGTAAGTTTAACAAAATGACACATTTTTTTAGGATATATGTAAAAAAATATTTTATTTTATTTATTTATTTTTTTAAAATTTAAAAGTAAATAAATTGTTCAATTTTTCAAGTTAAAATAAGACGTGTCGTACCTAACAACTTAAAATAAAAAATTACAGGTTATATATTCGAAAATCTCAATAAATAATTACTAATAAAGTTTGAACACAAGATTTTTTCATTAAGAAAAAGATCTTAAGTCCAAAAATAGAGATAATTGAGAATAAATAAATTAATAAATTTGAAAAAAAAAATTTTGTGCCAAAAGAATAAATTTGAAGGTTTTAAGAAAAGCAAAGTGTCCGTGAAACCAAAAGTCTGAAATTGTATGTTCCCCGCCTCAAGGATACGGAAAGCTGCAACTTAGGTCGCTTGAACTCGATAAAAGTTGCGTCTCGAGTGACTTGATTCTGTAAATTTCAAGTAAGCCGCCACGACCCAACTTAGTAACTTCTCCTGTAATTTCTTTTAGCATGAGCCTAACTCCATCTTAATTGCTCAGCTATCCCACTCAAATTTAGGTATATCTTGCAATTAATGTATTTAATTTATATTAATTTTGTATAAAATAATACAAAAATTATTATATCATAATTCATGTCAATAAATTAAATATGATAAATATTTTTTAAAATTTACCAAACTCATGACTTTTGAAAAAAATTTAAAATTTATTATTTTCATATATATTTTATATTATTTTTATATTATATCATCGTATTATATTTTAATTTATAAAATATAAATATAACATTCCGGGTTTTTATTATATGATTATTAAAATGAAATGCAAAATATGAAAAAGAAAAAAACTTAATTATGCGTATTACTGAAATTAATAATAATTTATGAGAATATTATACTTTTATATCCTCTTAAACATACAATTTCACGAATCTGATTAGCATTTGATACATAATATAGATAAAAGTATTATAACTTCTGCTACTATTCTAGTAATTTGTAATTGGAGCAGTTTGAACCAATTCTTCAAGATGCGTGAGAAAATTTGTTACTAGAAACATATATTATATAATATAATTATCAATAATACTCTAAGATCATATTTAAAAAAAAATGATGAATAAGATAAAATGATAATTATTTTATATTATATTTAGTTTATATCTAAAGAAAAATAAAATATTATAAAAAATATTAATTATTTTTTTAATATAAGATGATTCAATCTTTTTAAAGTGAAGATAATTAGTTTTAATATATGAGATTAAATTTAAATATTTTATTATACCTTTAAAAATTATATTTATAATTTAAATTATATAAATTTTGAAAAAAATAATTTGATTAATAAATAAATTATCTTATAATAATTTTTGTACATATTAAATATAAAATAAAATAATATTATTTAATTAATTTATTTATAATATTAATTTATCTTATCTTATCATAATTTTATATATTAAACACATTATAAATTTTAAAATAACATCGTTTTTATCAACTGTTTGCTGCATGGCTGGCTCTAGCGGTTATCGATCTCCATGCATTTATTTTTTAATAGGCTCCCTTCTGCAGCATCAAAGAAGGAAATTGACGAAGAAAGATCAAATAATAATTAAAAAAAAAAAGATTAAAGTAATAATTAAATAAGATTAATCATTGTATAATAATTTTTTTTTTGAGATGTGACCTCTTACCTGTTTCATATATAATATATAGTATAGATCTAACAATTTAAAATAAAATACATAAATACGATATGGATATAATATAAATATAAGATACAAATATAATATGATTTAAAATTTTAATAATAATTATATTTAAGTTTAATAAAATAAAATAATATATTTTATATTTTTTTATCAATATAAATTATGATACGTAATTTTTATATAAAATATAATATAAATATATAAAATTTAAAATTATATATAATATGAATACATAAATCATTATATCTACTATAAGTTCGACCTGTAAGGTAAAATTTGTTGGAATCAACAAAATCATACCATCTCATTGTTTAGAGACGGAATCCCAATCCGAATTTTTACCATGGGGCATCCAAACGAAGGTGCAAATCCTTTTTCGTTTTGTTTAATCAGAAAATTTTGTTCTCACTATACAAAATTTGCCTCGTAGATTTTCTACAGAAAGAAGAAAGCTGTCCACGTTTTGAAACAATTGTCTTTGAGAATCCTTTTGAATACTTCAACAAAGTCTTACATTGCTGGGACCCCTCACCAAAATCTCCCCAATTCGCATGCTTGTTCACTGACGCTCCTCGAATCCTCCTCTTTTGACCAAACAAATTTCAAACGATTTCGAACCCTTAATCAGGTCGCCATGTCCATATGCTATATATGAGCATCTTCCGCCAGCCTCGTTTGACAACATAGCTAGAAATTTTTTATATGACCAACAGTTTGTTTAATTAGTAAAATAATAAAATTTTAATTTTAATAATAAATATTCAAATCTTAAAAGTTTAGAAAATTTTTATATGTACACGGATAAAAAGAGAAATTATTGAATACATATTTGCTACGTAAAAATAAAAACCCAAAAAAAAAATTTTCCACATAACATATTTGCACCTTAATCAGTCAATAGCTACGTCTTCAGCTTCCCCTACTGCTTCCAATCTTCCAGCACCGGCGTCGCCGCCATTCTCATTACCGCCTTCCTCCAACCGCCTCTCAATTGGTACGCATTCAACCTTATGTCTCAACTTCCAATCAAGCGCTTGACAACCACGAGAACAGTAATTCACCGTGCCACAAACTGAGCACCTCCTAAACTCATTAGCCCTTGTCTCAGGCCTTCCGCAGCCTTTATGAGAGCAAAGCCTTAGCCCCTGACCTAACTCACCCACCCCTGACTCGAACCATTCTTTCAAAAACGTGTTCACCGGATGCCCCTCCGGTGCGGGTACGTTGCACCCGAAATCACTTAACAACGGACAACCCGAACCCGAACCCGATCCCGTCCTGTAAGTGTAATGTTGATAGTTTACACGACGTTTGTGCTGTTGCTGAGGTTGTCGTTTGATTAAGGAGTTTAAAGACGACACGAGTTCTCGAGCGTTGGCTTGGAGGAGTAGCCGGCGTCCTTCGGTTACGTTTTGGCGCACGCCGTAACCGTCTTGCAGGCAATGACCAAGCTCACGAAGCGCGTCCACATGGCCAAGGAAAGCGGCTCGTGCACATAAAGCTACTCCGGCTTGAAGATCCTTGTTGTATTTCGAGCCACCGCTTCCGTTGAATTGTATAACGGCCAGCGAGTAGAGAGCCGCCGCGTGGTACTTGATTGCTGCTTTGGCCATTAACGACGCTCCGCTTCCCCTGTTTTGTAAACAGTAAAATCGGATCTGTAACGATAGCACGTAGCAGTTACGTTAATTCTAAAAAAAGACGAGAAAAAAGAGAAAATGAGATAAAATATATGTGCAGAGTACGGACCATGCCGAGAGTGTAGCAAGCTTCAGCGTTGCCGGCGGCGACGCAGTGTTTGAGAAAACAGTGAGCGGAATCGGACCAGTTTCGGGCTTTCACGGCCAAAGCTTTTGGACCAGCTTTTGATAAGACTAGAGGGTGAAGGCCTAAACGGTTTAATCTCTTACATCTGTCGAATAAATTTTGGATTTTTTCTATTAGTACTTTCATATTAACACCCAGAAAAAAAAAAAAAGAAAAAAGAAAAATCAACGTACGTTAGGAGAACTTTGATGAAATCAGAAGGGCAAGAAGCGGAAGAACTGAGGTTGCAAAGGATGGAAACAACGAGATCGTCAGGCAATCCATCGAAGAGATCGGATTTGTCGGTAATTTCAGGACAAGTCCTTTGCTTTTTCCTCTGCAACATTCCTTTGTTTTCTTCGTTCTTTTGGGACAACGAAACAAATGAAAGTGAGGCAGAAATTTCAATTTTTACCTTCTCATCTTCCTTAGTACTTTTATATGGTTTTTTGCTTTCTTTTCTTTTATCCATAAAAGCAAAATCCAAAAAGATGAAGTTATATATAAGGCTGCGAAAAAAAAAAGAAAAAAATATGAAAGTTAGATTTGAAATTGTACTTTTGGTTTGGTTTAGTTATTTATTTTATTTAATTCGAATCAAATTTAAATATTAAATATATATTAAATTTAGATTAAATTTTAAAATTAAAAAATTAAAAAATTAAAGTAAATTGAATTATATATTTTTAATTTTTTAAAAATATAAATAATAACTTTACATCAAAATCTATTTAAATTTATTAAAATTTTATATTAAAAAATATATAAAAATTTTAAAAATTTAAAAATCAATAAATAATTAAACTGAATCAATAAAATTTAATTTATTTTAATTTTAATTAAATAAAAATTTAATTTAAATTTAAATTTTATAATATTATATAACATTTAAAAAATTAATTTAAATCCGATCTAAATCAAATTATTATCACCTTGATTATATATGCTGCAAGAGAAGATCACGGAGAGATTGTTTGATTACAAGTAAACGTAGGTTTGGAGTTGGACCCACGCAATTTAACTACACCAAATCTCGAATATTTGTTGGAAAGTTATTTTATATGCGTTGGATTCTGTTTAACGTTACTTACAGATACGATTTAAAAATAATTAAAATTAATATTTATGAAAAGATTTTTATATTATATTAAATTAAAAAAAATACATACATTAATTTTACTTGTTAAGGAAAGTTATCAAATGTCCGTATGGTGAGCTTTTGACTCTACAAATGATATAAAAAAATGTGATGCATACTTTTTAAAATATATTAAAAAAAAAATAAAATATGTGTTAATATTTTAATTACATTTATATAATTAAAAATTTATATTGATATTATATTAAATACTAATTTTTTAATATCAATTTGCCATTAGTTAACATTTTTCAATTTTATAGACGAGTTGATTTTTTTATTATAGAGAAATGAGTTAAAAAATTGATAAATATTTTATTAAAGTAAATATATTAAAATTAACAAATTAATTAATTATTAAATAAATATGTCGATTTTTATGTGTTAAGATTATTTCATGAAAGCTTACATGTAATTATAAAAAATATTGCGTGAAATGAGTTTTTTTTTTGTATTTTATTTTGATAAAATTATGAATGCGCTAAATTAATATAAAAATCTTTTAAAATTATTTTACACGTAGAATTAATTCCAAGAAAAATTAAAATGTTTACGATCGTATTATAAAAAATGTCGATTATTTAACTTTATCTATAAAATTAAAAAACTTTATCATATAAAACAATATTATTTTGTTTGATACTATAATCAACTACTAAAAGAAAATTAGGTTATGATTCACATTTCATTTAACTCTAATGGATTTGACATGTAAATATTTTACAAATCTTTGGTATGAAAAGTAGTGGTCAAAGTGGCCCCAAAGTAAAAGCCAGCACAATTAGTGCATTTTGTTGAGCAAAATGACTAAAAGAAAAGCCAAATCAAGATATTGGGATGTTGGAACTTGGAAGGGAAAGCCTATTTTGTCTAGTTTTAGGAACAGAGAAGAGCATCCCATTACTCCTATGTATTTTTGGAAATCTAATTTAGATTTAGAAAATATGGATTCTTGATTGTTTTCCATATATTTATCAATTTTATTTGTCATAGTTGGTATGATACTAAGTTCATTTTAGTACACAGGAAAGGAAATGGAATGTCAAATTTAATGTGATTAACTTATACTTCCTTGACTAGCAATGCCCCATTGATTTGGTTTAGTTTTTTAGTATTTAAAATTATCCGAATTTAAATCTTGATTATTAAAATTAAAAGTTTAATATTTTATCAATAAGTTATACAATTGTTGAAGATTTTGTTCGTGAAATTTTAGGTATTAGTATGAAAATAAATTCGATTATCAAATATCTATAAATATTGTTTAAGAAAAGTTAAATTATTATTTAAGAAAAGAATTTTGCATATAATAATAATAATAATTTCAAACTTTTTAAGTTTGGTGTTTTCATAAAAACATAAAATGATAGGAAGCAAAATTATATAGAGGCATTAATTCTCTATTGAAAAACCCATCAATCTTAAATGCAAAAAAGTCTTGAAATGATCTCCCTCTTTTGAACCTTGTTCACATTTGATCTTTATTAGTATGTTTTCATACAAACATAGAAAGGTAGGATACAAAATTAGGGGCATTAGTTCTCTGTTGAAAAACCCATCAATTTTTTTTTTGGTAAAAAAAATTTGAAGATAGATAGAGTATTCAATCTTTCAGATCAAAATAAAATGTATCATACCTGAAAACATAAGATAAATAGCTGTAATTCGTACATTTAAGATCATTCTAACGAGTGACCATCAATAAAACTCAAACTTAAAACCTTTTTATCGAGGAAGACAAACCTAACCAACCATCAATCTTGAAAATAAAGGATGACAAAAAAGTCTTGATATGGTCTCCCACTTTTGAACCTGATTCACATTTGATCTTTATTAGTATAGTGGTTTACTTATAAGAAAGCTTTGAAGCAAAGTCTTATTTAAAGCAGATTATTCATGTGGTGTGAACTACATTAAACTACAAAATAATGAAGGCTTTAGCTTCCTTATCCTTTTTGTTTAGGTTGTCTTTATCAAAGAAACCAAACCACTTTTGCCTTTTGTTTTCTTATATAAAAGGATAGTTTTATTCGAGTATTTAATTCAAATTTATTTATGCTTTTCAATTCTTGTTTACAAAAGAAATCGATAAAAAAAAAAATCGTAAATATTAAAATTTGAACCCTAAATTTATTGAATATTAAATCGAAATAACTTCCAGAAACTGATTTCATAAATAATATACAAATCGTTAGCTTTGAAAGTTTGGCTAAGAGCAAATTTTCATTGCCTTGTGAGACTAAAATATTTGAATCTTCTTTTTCCGTATATCATTTTTGTACTTTGTTATCATGTTTGGCTCTACGGCATGGTCCAAATTGAAGCACAAGTTGATCTGGTCTACAAAAGAGTTTTGCAATACACGTTAAAGCCTCAGATATTTCCAATTTTCCACTGTGGACACATTAAAATAATGGTGTATTCAAACCTTTGTTTTCTTCACTTCATCAGATTTGAGTGAAGAAAAAGAAAGAAAACTGGGTTTTGGATAACGTCTGAAGATGTGGTGTTGGTAGAACACAAATCCTTAATTTTGATTTCCACCAAAGAGAGATGATGAATCCTTTGGTGTGCGTTGCTACTGCCACAGCGGCCAGATTCAAGTAGACCTGATAATTGAAGTATTTATATTATGTAAAATATTAATAATTCATGTATTCGTATCGTGTTTACATAAAAATTATATATTATAATTTATGTTGACATAAAAATATAAAATATATTTTTTAATTTTATTAAATATATTTATGATTTTTATTAAAAATTTAAACTGTATTAATTTTATATTTTTTATTTATATTATTTTTATATCATGTTATCATATTTATTTGATATTGTCATGTCTTACCTGTAAAATTATAATCATTAATCTTCTTTAAGTCTTCTCTTTAAAATTCCTTTTATATTCCTTGGTAATTAATTCGTTTGAGTTTTGGGGATTGCAGTGAGAGTAATGTGATTAAGGATGAGTAAAAGTCGGTTTGAACCGACTAGATCGATCAAAATTGAGTGAATTCGATTGAATCGGTTTGATTTATTCGGTTTTAATTATAATCGATTTTTTAAATTGGTTAAATTGATTAATTCGATCGGTTTTCAATTTTTAAAATTGATAATTACATTAACCGAATTAACCGACTTTCTAATAATTAAAAATAAAAAAAATTGAGATAAATATTTTTATTTATTTTTTTTGTAAAATATTATTGAAATTATTAAATTTTTAGTAATTTAGTTTGAATTATACTAAAGTTTGAATTTTATTGAATTGAATTTGTGGTTAAATAATTATTAATAATAAGAAAAAAAATGATAAAAAAAATCGGTTGTTTAACTGAACTGAACCGATTTTGATTGATTATTTAATAATATTCGATCAGTTCAATCATTTGTTAAATGAAAGTCGGTTAAATCGATTATTGATTTTTTCAAACTGAACTGACCGAATCGATCATTTACTCACCCCTAAATGTGCCACCTCTCACAAAGAAAGTTGTATCGGAGACTGTTACATGTGATTACTCTTGAGTCACATAATTACAGCACCAATGGCCGCCCACATGGTGATGAAAAATGAATTGTGTAAATGCCAAAAAAGCAAGCGTGGGAAAGTCTTCAAAAGATATCAGTGGGGGTAGGGATGAAAAAATAATTTTGAGAAAAACGAAAATTGATTTTAAATTGTAGTAGTAGGTTTGTTTTGGATAGTTTTTTTTATTCGGTTTGGATTAAATTTAGATATTAAATATTTATTAAGTTTAAATTAAATTTAAGATTAAGAAGTGAAAAGCAAAAAAAAAATCGAATTATGTATTTTTATTAATATATATATTTTATAAAATAAAAATAATTATTTTATACTTAAATCTATTTAAATATATTAAAAATTATATTCAAATAATATATTAAAAACAATGAAAACTAAATTTAAAAAACTAATGAATCAAAACGAATTGATTTGGATTTGAATCAAATTTTAAAAATTTATAATTTTATACGTTATTCAAAAAATCAAATAAAAATCAGTTCCGAACTATTACAGGGAAATAATTTGCAAAGGCAGATGCCCAGAGTTCAAGGATTCCCGAATCGGGCAAAACAGCTTTCCTCTGCTGCTGTGCCTGTTGGCCACGAGACAAGGTCATTTTTAAGGAGGAATTATATCTTTACCAGAACTAGAAATTCATCAACCCCCCAACCAATGCATGAGGGGTACTTTGATTGGTATCATTATGGTTCTCGATCGTGTTGATCATATTGGGGTGCACTTATATGCCATGCGAAGGCAAAGACTTGGCTGCCAAAGCAAAAGATTG